GTTTAAATAAGTAATATCTTGGGGTTTTCCTGGGATCTATAACAGTAAAAAAAGACACAAAAAATTCTGTATCTGACTTATTTTGAAAAAATCGTTGGAACCAAGAAAAGACAGTTCAAAATCTTGCCCATTTGCGAACTTAAGTTTTCAGGATAGGTGGAACATATTCTCAATTGTCTACATATAACCCATTCCAGTGAGAAAATTCAACTTGGCCCAATTTATTTTCCCAAAACTAGAAAAATGTTGAGGGCACCCAAATTTCAACTGAATGTTTGTTCAGCTGTGCAGAATTTTGGAACTAAGATTTCAATTCCGGAGCCACAACAGGAGAAGGGAAAAAAAGTCTAAATTTATATATTATATGTTTATTAAACATATAGTTTTTTTTTTCTTTACTTTTCCTTTTTAACCTCTATCGGTCACTTCTCACTTGATCTGTGAATAAAAGCAAAATTTAGTGACTGCCCCCTAGCCTTAAAGCATAATTTTTCCAAACAATCATCACTTTGTTTGATGCCATGGGTGGTATTCAGAATCATGACCATGGACTGAACATGCTTGGCCATTGTGCAGTAAGGTTGATCCATGATTTGGGTACATTTTGGTTCCCAAAAAATTCCCATATGAAGCATAACCTGCATGTACCATGAGAACTCTACATTTAGTAAAGAATTTAAGTAAATCACTTATAGGCTTGTGGGTTCTACATATCTAGGCAGTTGTAGTAGCTAACTAAAAATAAAACTGAGGTGTTAGGTAGGAGGAGCGATGACATGACGATGTACAGCACATTTTCATAGGTTCCTGTGATGCCATGATAACTAGCCACCAAATTCAGTGTCTTCTAACCGTCAATACTGCTTTATGATTCAGCTTGCGATGACCCAACAAAATGTAGTATAAGTATTCTGACCTTTGTCGGAAACAGCCTGGTGTGATATTAATTCCATCATCCAGCATTACACAGCAGTAGATACGTAACCAGAGGCTACAGCTTTTGATCATTCCCCAGAGTGACTTGGAATAAGAGCTGAGGAATTGTACTTCTTATAAAGATAAGGATCTCCAGGCAGGCCTGACAATAGTAAGCCAAAATCCTCTTGTGTGATATGAAGGTAGGACGAAACTTACTTACCAGAATTTCTATAAATCTGTAAGGTGTGCCCAAACTAGGAGGAAGAAGGGTGATTAAAGCCTTTTCCTTTGGTTATACCAATATTCAAGTATATAATTTTTCAATGTAGGGTAATAGCTTCTTGATCCAAGGATAAATCTGACTGCCATTCTGTGATCAAAAAGCATTTTTTTTCCCTAGTTTGTTGCAAAATTGGAAGTTCTTTAAACTGGGTTTTTTTTGCCTTTTTTTGGATCAACAGCAAAAAACAAATGTGAGGAAGGCTGAACTTGATGGACGCAAGTCTCTTTTGAGCTATGTAACTATGTAACTATGTAATACAAAGGTGCCCCACACAGAGCTAAGAGGTTTAAGAATAAATGTATTTATATGAATCAATAAATATAAAGATATATATAGTCCTGAAAGTTGGAGGAGACCTAAAAGGGAATCGATTGGGGCAGGGAACTACACAATTGATGATAAAACTACTCTACATTTTGAAGGGAGTCATTAGAGACTTTAGACTAAAATCATGGCTAGTAAAAGTCATGACCCATAGAATATATAAAAAAAAAAAAATAGAAAAAAATTATTCAAAGTTCCAGGAGCAAAGCCACGTGCGAGTGGCTTTGCACCTGGAACTTTGTGTATGTGGCTATATTTGACAGTATATGTGTATAACTGTGTGCATCTAACTGTTTGTCTGGCTGTGGGACTGTGTGCATGTAGCACTGCAAAAATACACGCTAGCATTCACACATGGGCCTACATGCATTTAAAAAAATATGAATTAAATACCCCTATACAAACACTACATCCTTACACATCCTTATACAACCTTAAACATGCACGATACATGGATGAGCAGGTGTGACCAGGGAGGGGTGCTGTGAAAATTTCTCGCACAGGATGCCTAAAAACCTTAGGCCCACCCTGTACTCAGCCTGTGGGTCCAGGGAAGATGGCCGCAGGGAAGCATACTGTTGGAGGAACCAGGAACCTTGTCAGCTTATCACAATCACACCTCACGCATGCACACAAGACAGCTCAGGAGCAGGAGTCTGTCTCTAAGCAATTCTCGGATTTTGAACCAAAGGTACAGATTCTGATAGCGCAACGAGCCCAGCAGACAGACCCCAAAATGAAAGAGCCATCATCTCCTTAATTTTGGGGTCTGTCTGCTGAGCTCGTTGCGCTATCAGGATCTGTACCTTTGGTTCAGTGTTGATACAGTGCAGGTACCCTGGGAGTGGTCTCTGTCTGCTCTTTTGTGTGTTTACAGGGGACTGCTGCAGAAATCCATTGGTTTCTTCCCTTTAGAACTACTACATGAGCGCAGTGGGTGTGGCCCAAGGGATGTGACCAGAGATAGATGGGAACTGGAAACAGGCAAATCAGGCATGTTTGTTGTGGATATGGCTGTGGAATGGGCTTTGCAGAAATTACATCCATATCTGTATGGCCGAGACTTTACTGTAATCACTGATCACAACCCGCTGCATTGGCTAGACAGAGTATCGGGTAACAATGGTAAGCTTCTTCATTGTAGTCTTATCCTTTCAACAGTATAATTTCGCTGTCCAACACAAATAGGGCAGCTTGTTCTGCATGGGCAGTTGCCCGGGGACCCCACAGGCATGGGGGAGAGAGGGCAAGAGGACTCGGAGGAAGGAAGGAGGGACCTGTAAGGCTGGTCGCTCCTTCCGCGAGCAGGCTGTGTGGAGCTGTGAAGGAATAACCCCATCACTTTCTGCTCCTTTCGTGGAATTACGTTCTTGTTTAAGTTTTGTTCGTCTATTTGGTTTGATTCCCGAACAAAGACCACCCAGAGACCCATTAGAACGTGGAACGTTGAGTATCTTGTACGAAAATTGCAACGGAACTAATTAATTGTATGCTTTACTGGGTGGCCACTGAACTAATTTCGGTCAGGCACTCCCGCGAACACCGGTTACCATGGACCTGCTGCCCGTTCCAGTTTTACTACACCTACACGAACGGCATTCGGGAGATATGGACTACCGAATACAGGGAGCATTCTACTCTGATCTATTTTCGTCTAACTTTTGCGGTTTTCGTACAAAACCCCATGAACGGAAACCGGCTCTTGCTGCAACTTCCCTGGAACTATTTGGGGCTTTGACCTCGTGACAGACCAGTCAAAACTTCCCGACAATGGCGATCCAAAACTACCAAAAGCATCTGGGTGATTTCTGGATATATTGCTCACCCAGATCTCAGCTATCTGGGGATGTGACTTTTGTTTAGTGGTTTCCATGTATTTGGGGGGTACTTTTGGGGTGTTTAAAAATTGTTATGATTTTCTGTCTCTGAGAGATAATGTAATTATAAACGTGTATTCAGATAATTATATCTCAGGCACAGAGGATCCTGGGAGGGATTTCCCTGTATATCTGTTTAAAAAACACAATGTTGGGGCTTTTGCATAAAAAGCCATGTGTGGCCTTGAATAAACCAGATTTCTCCCAGCATTAAGCCTTGGCTCATGTCTGGGAACTTATGCAACACTTCCGACATTGTACCTAGTGTGAAAAGGGCATCCGTGGTGGTGATACTTTGGCAGACTGCCACATTTGGTAGCAGCGGTGGGATGGTCCCTTTTACCTGGAACTATAATCTAAGATTTCCAATTGCTGCACAGCGGATGGAAGCCTGGTACACCCAGCTCAAGCGCAGCACGTTAAAGGAGTTACTGGAGGTTCGTGGGGGCATTGCCAGCAGTAAAGCCAAATGGATTCTCATCAGCTGGACAGAGAGAACTTGGTTGAGGCGAAACACACCGTTCGTGTAGACGAAAGTGAACAGATGAGGGAAATTAGAGAACGGTTGGCGCTGTTCGAGCCAAATCTCTCTCCCGAAATCATCCTATCGATCATTAACGATGCTAATGTGACCGCAATGGAACAACAAGAATTGCAAGTATGCCTACTGGAGGTGCAACAAACTGCAACACTTTTCCCGAACGGTTCCAGTGTTGCATCCGAACCGCGAAAGATACCCTTCAGTGCTGTCAAAGCTTTCAACGAATTAGAAGGGGAAATTGATGGCTATTTGGCAGATTTCGAATGCCAGTGCGCTCTACACAAACAAGCCGAAGAGGAATGGGTCCCTATATTAGCAGGAAAACTATCAAGGTGGCTGACGCTTTTAGGGCCGTTCCAGAGAATGAGATACAGAGCTATGAGCGAGTGAAAGATGTGCTTTTGGCCACGTATGTGGTGACACCAGAAGCATACCGTAGAAAATTCAGGGACAAGCAAAAAACAGACAAAGACTCCTACACAGAGTGGGCCTGCCGGATGCACCAAGCTGCACCCCATTGGATTATGGGCTGTCAAGCAACCACATTGGAAGATGTCATGCAACTCCTACTATTGGAACAATTCTTTAACTTTGTTCAACCAGACGTCAAGGAGTGGGTAAGGGACCGCAGACCCCTTACACTCCCTGAGGCGACCCGGCTAGCAGGTGAATATACTGACGACTGCAAGCTGGACCGTCCTTCACCCAGGGTCCAGCCTCTCCAAAGCGACCCACCAGCACAGAAAACTGGGGGAAGCTATCGCCCCCCTCCATGACCTAACCCTAACAGCTATGGGCGTCCCTCAACTACCAGACCCCATATCTACCAATGCAAGCAAGTCGGGCACCTCCGCAATGATTATCCTCTGGAACTCCCTAAACCCCACTGGATCCGGCCAGGGATTCCCACAACATGGGTGGTTGCACACTGTGACAACAACCCCGTCTCTTCAACCTGGGAAGCGAGAGAGCCAAGACAGGAAGAACCCCTATGTGACAAAGTGCCCTTCGCCACTTGGTCATGGAGAGGCCTGCTTGCCAGCCTCCTGCCCTGTGACTATGGCCCGGGGTGTATGGCCCTTTAAAAACATTATTGGGGCTTATGGACTTTTATGGGACTGGTGCTGGCCCTTTAAGCACATTTTTGGGACACAGGGAGAATTGGAACAATGCCCCTTTAAAACTGTGTCCCCAGAGTCCCCAGACTGTGAAAATAACTTGTACATGGCTTTTTCCCATATGGCTCGGTAATTGGGGCTTACCGAACCATTTACTGCACAGGCGGACCACACACAAGGGGGAAGTGTACAGTCAATTTACCTCCCAGGCTGATGGTTAACCACAAGGTTAATTGCCGACCGCTGGGGGACTGCCATTCGTACAGGCAAATAAGTGGCGGCGGCCATCTTTGTTAGTCGAATGCGGTCAGCAGTGTGTGCAGCCAAATCCATGGAACTAAAATCGGCTACACATTTGCTTGAACACCGCTGACCCTTACCTTCTCCTCCACTTTGACGATTTGGCTAAAATCGAAGTGCGTTCAACAGTTCGAACGCCATGTTATACTTTGCTATTTTCACGAATGGTGCCTGTTCGTGCATTTGAATGGGACTTTGTTATTTTTCTGTGTGAAATAGACCGACCGCACAGCCCAAATCTATGGAACTCTTTTGGGCATGAAAATGTGCATGCGGTTGGTCAAAAAGGACTTCCAGCTACATTTTAACAACTGGAGGGAATTGTCTGATTTTTGGGTATGTTTGTATTTGTAGTATGCTAAGTAATAATATGTAACTTATGGAAATTGGATGTATATTTTGTGAGTTATGAGTATTGTATAAAAACTGTTAACCCATTGTGTACAGTAATTATATCGCAGGCAGAGGGGAGGATTTTGCTGGAATTAATGGGAGTGTTTTACTGTATTGTACGTGTTTGATTGGCTGTTCTACAAGACCATGTGGGTGGTACTTTGTGTGTAAAACTTGCATAAAAGAAATCCCTTTGTTGCTGAATAAAACAGATCTTCTTGACCCTCAACACGTAGTCTTGTCTCGTGATTGGAGGGGACAGCTATATTCACACTGGGGATTGCTATACTTGTATACTCCCTTGAGCTTTAATCACTTAGCTCTTCTAAGAGCTGTTCCTGATACGCTCTCCTGGAGGAGAGGTCTTTCCTGGATGTCGGAGGTCTTTCCCATACGGTTCTGGAAGACAGAAGCTGATCCAGGGTGGAAGGAAGACGGTTGACTACCAGTTAAGCTACGGCGGTTGTGAAGTTTGCAGTGGTTGTGGTGTCCGGTGCGGTACTTGTGGTCCTCGGCGCAAGCTAGGAAGCATCCAACAACGAAAGGTACTTGGTCGGAGTACGGGGAATTCCGTTACACCCTAGGATGACTCTATGAGGCAGACCCTGTCCAGGTGGCCAGTACAGACAACAGGCAACATCATCGCCAGTTAGTAATGGTTAATGGCAAGACAGCTCGGGGCCTTCAAGACACCGGAGCCACCATCACCTCGGTCCAAAGACACTTGATAGACAACAATGAGCGTCCATGGAAATTGGTAGCCTTTTGGTGGCCGGAAGAGATATTTATAGGCTTCCGACTTCCCAAGTACACCTGGATTGGGGTGCAGGAGCCGGTATTGTCAATGTTAGGGTCATCATAGACCTACCAGCAGATGTGTTACTCTGCAACGTTTTGGGGCCACTGACTTCAGCCTTTGTACCCACTACCATCCAGGAGGTACAAGCCGTGACCACCCGAGCCCAAAGTCGTGCTATGGAGAACCACCCACATTCCACGGAGACCCAGGTAAGCCCTTCTACCCTGACTGTGACCGTAGAGCCCCTACCCTGGGATAACCTGCAAGACTTTGGGAGGGAGGCAGAGGGTGACCCCTCACTACAGAAGTATTGGGAGAAAGATAGGACAGATCGGGGGGGTTTGGAAGAGAACAGTTTGTCTGGGAAGGTAGCCGGTTGTATAGGGTTACTGATTCCAGAGTTAACGCTCCAGTGCTGATTCAAAAACATCAGCTGGTAATTCCCAAGAAATACCGGATGGAGTTGTTAAAGGTCGGGCACAACGTGCCCTTAGCTGGACATTTGGGAATTCGACGGACATCATACTGAGTAACCCAGAACTTTTTCTGGCCTGGGGTATCCAATGATGTCCGACGATATTGCCAAACATTCAAGGTATGCCAGAGAGTAGGCAAAAGAGGGGACCACCCTAATGCTTAGATGGTCCCTATGCCCATCATTGAGTAACCTTTTAGTAGGGTAGCAGTGGACCTGATAGGACCATTAGCCCAGCCTAGCCGCTCCAGTAAGAGTTACATACTTACCGTAGTGCACTATGCCACCAGTTACCCCGAAGCCGTGGCTGTTCTCAACGTCCAGGCCGAGACAGTGGCGGATGCCCTGGTCAAGATATTCTCCTGAGTAGGATTTCCCAGGGAGATTCTGTCACTGCCGATGTTACCCACCAGTTTTGGAAGGTCTGCAGGATAAAACCCCTGATGAACTCCCTGTATCACCCCCAGACTAACGGTCTCTGCGAGTGGTTTGACGGAACCCTTAAACAAATGCTGAAGATGTTCACAGCCCCTTGCAAGGACCGGGAGTGATTCCTGCCCCACCTCCTATTTGCCTATAGGGAAGTGCCGCAGGAATCTACTGGGTTCTCGCCCTTTGAGCTGTTATACGGGAGGCGAGTGATGGGACCCCTAGACCTTATTCGGGAACACTGGGAGGGAGAGACAGAGAGTGTGCCCTGTGTGCTGTAACTGAGGTACCGCATGGAGGCATTGGCTCAGACAGTGCGGGAGAACCTCGAGGCGGCCCAACAGCGCCAGCGGGTATGGTAAGACCGGAAGGCCAAACACTGTAGTTTCCAGGTTGGGCAAAAGGTTCTGGTACTCAAGCCAGTCTGACAGGACAAACTACAGGCAGCCTGGAAGGGGCCGTATAAAGTTATTGGGCAGGTGTGTGATACCACCTACACTGTAGCTAGCTGTGAGAATGAGGATGTAAAACGGACGTTTCACATCAACATGCTCAACGAGTATAAAGGTAGAGAGAAAGAAGTAGCCGCAGTGTGTGCCCCATCATCTGAGGACTCCAATGCCATACCCTTACCTGACCTGTTAGGAGGTGACCCTAGAGAGGGGGCCATAGAGTTGGTCCAGCTGGGGGAACGACTGGGACCACAGGAGCGATCCCAAGCGATCCAATAGCTGGAAGCCAAACAGGCTACCTTCTCCCAGGAGCCAGGATACACCCCTTTAGCGACCCACAAGGTAGACACCCTGGGTCAGGCCCCCTAGAGACAGCCCCCATACCGCATTCCTGAGGCAGTCCGGGAAGGAATGCAGAAAGCGATAGCAGAGATGCTCCGCCTAGGGGTTATTAAGCACTTTGAGAGTCCTTGGGCCTGGCATTTAGTACTAGTGCCAAAACGGGATGGCACAACTCGCTTTTGCGTGAATTACAGGCGGCTCAACGATAACATGGTCACTGACGCTTACCCGATGCCCCGGGTAGACAAATTGTTTGACCGTAAAAACTAGGGGACGTTATCTGACCACTACAGATCTTTGCAAAGGCTAATGGCAGATACCACTAGCCGACACCTGGGAGGCTCACCTTGTGCCACATAGGGACAGTGTTAGACAGTAATAGGGGAGCCGGCTTAACTTTGAAGCCAGACAAGTGTAACATTGGTATGGCAGAGGTGCAGTATCTGGGCCATCATATAGGATGTGGTAAGCAACGGCCAGAACCCGCTAAGATTGAGGCTGTTGCCAACTGGCCCACTTCCCAAACCAAGATGCAAGTCATAGCCTTCTTAGGGACCGCTGGCTTCAATAGACGCTTCGTACCAGAGTATAGCGCCATGGCCAAACCCCTGACAGACCTGACTAAAAAGAATTTACTGAGACAGGTCCTGTGCTCCCCGGAATGTAAGGCGGCTTTCCAATCATTGAAACAAGCCCTTGTCAATGCACCTGTTCTGTCTGCCCCAGATCCTCACAAATACTTTATCGACCATACAGACGCTTCCATGTTTGGACTGGGGGCAGTTCTAAGCCAGGTCGGAGAAGATGGAGGGGAGCACCCAGTGGCCTATTTGAGTCGGAAACTACTACCCTGGGAGGTCAGCTACTCGGCGATTGAAAAAGAGTGTCTAGCCCTAATGTGGGCACTGAAGAAACTCCCTATCTATATGGCTGCGCATTCACACTCATCACCGACCACAATCCCTTAGTTTGGCTCAATCGGGTTGCTGGAGATAATGTCTGTCTTCTGAGGTGGAGTCTAGCCCTTCAACCCTACGACTTCACCATACACTACCAACCTGGCAAACAGAATGGGAATGCGGATGAACTATCCCGCCAGAGCTAGCTGGTGACTTAACATGTTAATTGTACTATCCGGACAGCCCCAAGTTCACCTGAAAGGGTCCAACCGTGTCTGCCGAAGCTGTGAGCATGGAGGGAGCAGTGCGAAGGAATTACCCCATCACTTTCGGCTCCTTTTGCAGAATTCAGTTATTGTTCGGTTCCCAAACAAATACTACTCCAGAGACCCATTAGAACATGGAACTTTGAGTATCTTGTATGAAAACCGCAACGGAAGTAATTAATTGAATGCTCCACTGAGTGGCCGCCATTTCGTGCAAGTGAACGCACGTGTTTGGGACAATGTATGGTGGACATTTTGTTTCCCGAACGCAGGCAGCGGGACCTGGTCGTCGAGTGCCTGGAACTCATTTTGGCCAGGCACTCCCACGAACATGGGTCACCGTGGACCTGCTGCTCGTTCCAGTTCTACTACACCTACACTCACAGCGTTCGGGAGATATGGACTACTGAATACAGGGAGCATTCTACACTGATCCATTTTCGTCTAACTTATGCGGTTTTCATACAAAACCCCACGAACAGACACCGTCTCTTGCCACAGCTGGAACTATTTGGGGCTTCGACCTCGTGGCAGACTAGTCAAAACTTCCCCGCGATGGTGATCCAAAACTACCAAACGGATCTGGGTGATTTTTGGATATATTGTTCACCCAGATTTCATGTATTTTGGGGGTACCTTTGGGGTGTTTGAAAGTTCTTATGATTTTTTCATAAGTTCTTATGATTTTTTTCAGATAATTATCTCTCAGGCACAGAGGATCCTGTGAGGGACTTCCCTGTATTTCTGTGTAAGAAACCCTATGTTGTTGCATAAAAGGCTGTGTGTGGCCCTGAATAAGCCAGATTTCTCCCAGCTGTAAGTCTGGG